CGGGCTTTCAATGGACAGCATGGCAAGACTGCAAAGCCTTATGGGGGAACAGAGCTGCGGAGCCTAAAGATGGATCTGTTGGTCCTGGCATCAGGGCGAGGGACAACTGATGTAGTATGATTAGCTGCTAAAAATGTACCTGCATTTATTAAATGTCAGCTAAAAGAGGAGTGAAATGAAAAATCTCTGAATTTTATGTGAAGATATTAACAGTACTTAAAGGTGGGGTAGGTAATTTTGGAGAAACCAGCTCGAGTGCTCTAGAATTTGAAAATACACAGCCGGAAAAAATCTGCCACTTCCTTACAGAGCACCTCCTCCAACACACACGAACGCGCACATGACCAATGAGGGCAAGAGATAAGTTTGTGCACAGATGGAAGACTGACAGGCAGGTAGGCCATCCAGTTATTTTATCCGGGCCGGCTCAGATGATTGGTCGTGCTTTTTACAGCGCTACGGCTTCCACAGATGATATTTTTTGATGGATTTTTTGTCAAAGCACTTCAGATATTCATTGCTATCGGAATGTTAAGAGCATTCCATGGAATATAACAAAAAGTGTATCTCGAGCCGGTTTCTCAAACTTACCTACCCCACCTTTAATGTCAGCAAAACATTACAATTATTATTTACAATGGACTACGCTTAGCTAACAGACTAATTTCCACCACTCATGGACCACACCCACCTTTTCTTTTGAAAAACTGGGTGACATACTGTCGCCCTTTAGTCCCTCTTTCTTGTCTTTCTCTCCTTTCTTTTCTTTCTTGAAAGCCTGACTTTGTTAGTCGTTGAGAAATCGTACACACGTAAGTACTAGCATCCCTCCTCACATGCTCGCACTAGAGCATGCTCTGCTCTGCTAGAAAGGGCCGGTGCTGCACAGCGTTTGGAGGGAGGACCAAACCATTACATGTAAATAGAGGGGGTGTTCGATGCTTTGGATAATTAACTTTTGGAAGAAAATAAGTTAAATGAATCATAAGTTTAGTGAGTACATCATCAATATGACATTATATTAATGTTAATTATTGATGATTGATGAAAGGTTACTTAAACATTTTTTCTTAATGTTCTAAAATGTTTTGGGGCCCCTGTCAGTCACGGGCCCTTAGAATCATCCTAACTTTTCACCCCCTTACGGCGCCGTCGCGCCCCTGGCTATAATACAAAACAAAACGTCTGCCTGCTCTCCACAATGATCAACAGCGAACACGATGGTCAAAGTAAGGTACAAATAAACAGAATCACACAAAGCCTGGTTAGTGTTACCTGACTTTATAAAGTGTGTTTTTTTTGTGTGGTTGCGTTCTAGTCACTTTGCTCAGTGCTACTGCTTGCTACAACTTTTATTTGCTGTACTCACCTTTAACTGTTAGCTCAGGTTAATCTCGCCCCCTCGACGTAAGCGTGACGTATGCAGTTCTTGCTTCTAGACCGACAATTTTGTGGTGCTTGAAACAAACCGGATTCCGGAGCTTAGAGGCGGCTCCGCTGCGGTGTGAACAGGAAAACCCGGTGCTTTTCAGGCTCTAGCGCCGAACCGGCCCTGGAAACGCGTTGGTGTGAAAGCCCCATCAGTTAGAATCATGGTCTGGTTTGGGTTGGAGCTACTGGCCTTAACATTGTTATTCCTGTAATAGTACTTCAATCTACAAATCATATGATAACGTCTTTAAAATGTGACTTTAAAATTAACCATTTGCTAATCCTCTAAGTGTTTGCCTTTCAGAAAAGAAGACATTACCAGTCTATGTTTTGTGGATGAAACAATTACCATCCATTGCATCAAGTCAATACATTTGAGTGGTTTGCAACCATATAATTGCAATGTAACAAATTATTAGGCGAATGAGGTAAATCAGCCTAGCAGGGATGTACTGTATGTTAATTCAAGATGTGAATATGAGCATTATGCTTTATAAAATATGTACAATGTGAAGTAAGAATATAATTTGTTCCAACATTATCAGATATTATATACAGTAACAATGATGATCTATTTCAGTTCAAAACAAACACAGTTTCTGAGGACACAGATTTCTCTGTCACTGTTCATTCATGCCAGGGGAAGTAACAATAATTTGGATCAAAAGAGTTGTCTGCTCTCCAGGGAGGAAGACTTGGGTCTGGCCCAATGCAGATGTCATGCTACTCTGGACTGCCAAATCCTGGATTGCGTTTTGCTCATCAGCACTTTGCCAAACTACTGCCATTCTTTTTCTGCTCAATATTGACAGCTCATATTAGGTCACCAAAACCACAGATGCCATGTTTTATATTTAAGTCAGTTTTTGCATCACTGACAGAGGTGATGACAGAATGTGCGACTTAAGCAAATTAGGCTCACACCCTGTGCAACAGCAGTTATTGATATACGTTATGATGTAAATTAATTTAGTCGTTTTTCTACATGGTTTGTGTTTATAAAATGTGCCTTTTGAGTTTCATGAGATCGATATTAATTCAATTGTAATTGTGTTCCTATGTATCAAGTGTGAATCGGATTGGAGAACATTGTGTATATCCAAAAAATACCACATGCTATCTGTGATCATTTTAACAGGTGTCTGATTTAACTGAATAGTCTATTTGTCTATTTGCTGTGGAAACTAAAAGTGACAACATATAAGTGCTTCTATATTTCTTAATTAATGCACTAGTAATCATCAGCAACTATCATCAGCAAAATATCAGTAACTTTTCTCTCTGCAGTAAAATAAATGCAGCATCACCGTTTATTCGTAAGTGATGTGTTAATCAGTGAAACCCCTCATCTGTTACTTTCATTTATTTAGCCATCGGTACTTTTTTTTATGCATCTACAAAATGACTATGCAGAACAGTTCCTACATCTCCACAGTGGCTCTGTCCCGGCCTTGAGCACTGGCAAAAGCTAGGAGTATATCAAATGTTATCAGCTAGCCTGTAAATCAATCATAACCCCAGACACTCAATAAAGAGGGCATCAGAGATAATGCGCCAAAGGCACGGGGCAAATATGGAGTTGTTTTAGCCATTATGTGTCACAGGAAGGGGATGGAAGCTTTTTGTGACAATATTTGGTGTCAAAAAACTTCAAACCCTTGGTGTGTGAAACCACTGCTGATCAATGGGCTCCTGCAACTGGATTGCTACTTGTTAAGTGCCTTGCTCAAGGGTACATTTAAGGCAGTTGTCTTTAAAGGAGTGAATTTCCCTTCCTCCCAAATTGCCCAAATCTCAAATCAGATTGAGACTACTACCTAATTTCTGCTGCGCTGACTTTTAAAGCTTATTGGAGTGATTATCTTCTCTAAGGTAAATACGTAGTATAACATCAAAATTGTAGATTCATACTGTGTATTTTATTCATAATCCTAGAAACTCATGCTAACTTATGGGATACCATGAATGTCTCTTTTTCCATGTTTGCCTGTTTCAGCTGCACACTCCATAGCACATTCAGTTAACACGATTCCATTTGGCTAAAACCACCACTTTGGGATAAGCATGCAGAATTTCAAGTAGCAGTGGTTTCATTTTTCTTCGCAGTTTTTTATCTGGCAAAAATGTGAAGTCTTACAGCTTATCTTTATGCTCCCAGTTCGGCTGCTCTACTCTGGTTTTTATTGTGTTTAACAGGATTGTAGGCATGTTTATTAACCACACATCCTTCACTTAGATAGAGTATGTCTCATGTGGTATTCCACTTTACACAGCATGATTTATGTTGCAGTGCCCCAATCACTATACTGACCCTAATAACCAATTGGCCCAGCCAGCGCAGTGCTCATTTTGTCATGCCAGGTAATTTCTCTTGTTGTTCAGCAGATAATTCCGTGGTCCTGATAGTGAATTACAGCCAAAGACAGGATTTTGACCACGTGGGAGCAAGCAAGATGGTCTTGGCATGCTGTAATTATCTGAACTATTGTCCACAAGAGGGAAGTGTTATCACATTCATCCTCCCATTCATTGCAGGCAGTACCTGCAAAGGACTGATGTTGTTTCTGGAGAAATGGATGAACTAGCTTGGGAGTGAGGAGGAAGGAAGGAAGGAAATAGGGGAGTTAGTACTGTTTGTCATCTCCATCTTCCATGCACATGCATACACACATAAATAATAAAAAAAGTAAGAACATTCCCTCCAAAAGCACCATCCAGTTATTCCTCCCCTATTTTTAATTGACAACGTTACTTCACTATGAGAACATGTAAGGATGGATCATATTTTAGCTTTCAGTGCCCCATCCTGACATGCTTGTCAGACTTGTGGTTCACATGAGGTATTGGGTGCTGCAGGGGTCATACAGGGTATCCCTGATGTTTCGTTGCATATGAAAAATACAACACTTTCTTACTTGATGAAATAATGTAAAGGTTATGGCATAATAATTGTCCCATGTAGGTGTTTTATTTCGAGTATAGCTTCTCTTTGTCTCTGTTTGCCGATGACATTTAAATTTAATAATTTAATATGTTGCATATGTTTACCACTTGGGATAACATGAGGGAAACTCACATAATAAACAAACAAGTTCATTCTTTCTTTGATACTTTTAACTTCAAAATCAGTCAGTAAGGGGATTTAGGCTTATTCCTTAACATATGAGGGAGGATATTTTTTTCTCCTTTAAGGAATTTGCTTCAGTCTCGACTCTCCTCTATGTCAGTTTTGGTTTTGATTCTCGTTTCCCTTCAGTCTCACTGAATTTCAGGATTTAGTCATATGAACCGTATTTCACTTCTGCATGACTGTACACGCTGCTGTTGTCCTGTTCCCACATTTCCACTCCGTACCTTCGATGGATCTATTTGAATCCTCCTATAATTGTTTTTCCATTTGCGCACAATGTTATCACCTTCTGTTACAGATGGAGTCATTTTGACCTGCTAGAAAAGTTTGAGATTCACTTATTTAGGGGGGCTACCAAGGCTGATGTGTTTCTTTCAGACGGTGCATTTGCTTTTTTCGCAGTACAATCCAGGCTCCTCCCTTGCACAACGTCACCCGATCCCGATCTCTCCGAAAGCGTCAGCGATAGTCAGGAACACACTGTAGTGGCACATCAGCGGGGCGGTGCGCATAGCAGGATAAAGCTACACTGTATTTCATCCACATTAAAAAAACGACTGAGGAAAGGGGGGTACATCCCACCATTTTCCAGAGTTACAACAACTTCACCGGCCTGCTGTGTCTGATCACTCCGACTGTCCGTGTCTGCAGACAACCGCGAACGTAAGGAACTAAAACAGGGACGGTGCCAGCAGAATTTCTGTGAGGTGCTCTGTCAATATCAAACAGGGAAGATCGAGGCGACATTTCCTCAGAGGAACTCTTCCAAGTGTTGGAAACTTCCCAGCGCAGCATCGATCGAGGACCTCCCGCCCACTTTACCTCTGATCCACAATCCTGGAAGGAGAGAGAGAGTCCTGCAGCCGCTGCAGTGGATGGAGCAACAAAGGCTAGAGCTAGATGGTTAAACTGCTTTGATAAGAACACTCAACACAAGACTCCATCACCTTATCGCCAAATCTGCAGCTGTAATTGGATCTCATTTTCTGGCAGATCCGACCAGGTTCCACTTAGTGCAAACTCTGCTTCAGCCAACCACAAAAAAAAAGGAAGTCGCCGCAGACGTGAAATTGATGCTTTGGTACGGAGAAGCGCAATACCGATCCTCTAGTTTTGCGAAAGTCTCATACTGATCAGTGAGGGACTAGTTCGAGCCGTAGTGGGATTTGCAGAAGTTGCATGCTTGGTCTTTGTCGTCTCGAGTGAGCCTCGTTCACCCACTCTCGGCTTATCAGACCGGATCCGGATAGTTGAGGTGCCATGGCGATGTGTGTGGGGATGTGGATACTCCTGCTAGCCCTGCACGTCCAAGGTAAGCCGCAGAATTTAAACAAGGAATCATTCGAGACATATGTGCATTATTATACCATCCCTCCCTGCTTCTCGGTGTGTGTCTGTGTGTGTGTGCGCGCGCGCGTGCATGTGCAGCCCTGCATGAATTGGTGGATCGATGTAATGTGGTCTAGTTTGCAACAACAGTGGGAAAATAAATGAGAAAATTGGAAAGTGTGCAGAAAGCCACTCAAAAAAGCACTGCAGAATACTTATTTGGCTGCAATACAATGAAGTAACCCCGGCAGCAGGCAGATGGCGATATGCGAACCGTGTACTCTCCAAGTTTTCCAATATCTTATTGTGATGGCAAGTCAGAGTGCTTATGGATGATAATTGAAACTTGTGGCCTGTTATCATCTGTTCTTCTCTCTCAGATTTATACTCCAAACTATTATAATTTAAGTTGATGATGTCCAATTCATTCATGTGAGAAACTGAGAATCAAATCCTAAGGCCTTTGCTGTTTGTTTTTAAATTCAATCTTGGTATTGTCTGTGACTCATAATGTGGTGACATTTGTCTTTTCATTTCTCTACTTTGCCCTGAATACATAATAGATTATAGCAGACGGAGAGAGATGGAGTGTGTGTCTTTTGGGGGCGCAGGATGAGGTGTTGAGGGAAACACTGGTGGTTGATAAATGGAGTGATAATTTGACATTGATCATCCTGACATTAAAGCTTCCTCAAGTGGGCCTAATCATTTAAACACATGCTCAGGAGGAGTATTTGACTATTATCAGAAGAATAGCCATTATTCTTGTTAAATTTGACACCCTTCAAATTGGAAAACACAACAAGCCAACAGTAAAACATCATGTATACGCCCAACTGTGTTTGTGTGTGGGTGTGTGTTGTTTGTCATCCATTATCCAGAGGCGTTTACAGGCTTACTCTAAAGTTTACTCGTTTGTTTACATCATGGACAAGTATACTCGGTCTGGTGCCTCTATTTTAAGAAAGGAATGAAGAGGGTCAAGTGTGGTCAATAAATGTTTTGTATGTCACTGATGTCCTCATTTTCTCTGACAGGCTGCAGCTTGTACATGTTAACGCAATCTTACATTTTGGTGATTTTTTCAGTCGAAAAACTGTTTTCTAGGGCAAATGTTTTTCGCCACATCTCGGTTGTTTTGTTCCCCAACTCTTATGAGCCGGAGAACAAACCAAGATGTTAACCTTGTTCGCAGCGAGGCTCCTTGTGGCGTCATGTGTTTTAAGACCGATTGATCAAAAGCCATGTCTGATTTACATTGAGATGATCCCTTTGCTTGTGGAGAAGATCAGGATTAACTGGTTCCCTTGAGATTCATAGTGGAAATCTTTTGAAGCTGTTCAATCAAGGGAGTGGAAAAATATTTCGAAAATGGCTCTTAAAGCGTCCTGGAAATGTCTTATTTGAGCAAAGCAGGAGGTGTTTTTTAAGCCTAATTAGACATTGCATGAATAACTTTGCTCTTCTTTTTTTATGGCTGAGGGTTATTTCAAACCAAAAGGACTGCACAATTCATGCTTTCAGACATCTTCTTTAAGGGAAGGGCTTGGGAAACGGTTTTATTGCAGCATTTGGTTTGGACCAATTTCTTTTGTGATGCAAAAACAAGAATCTGGTCTTTCACCCTGAGGTTAAAGGGCGTTGCCATAAATGCCCACCGTCTTTGATGGCCTAATTGATATACAGCATGTTCCAGACTCTTCCCTCATTACAAATGCACAAACAAGTGGTAAAATGGCACTAACAAATGGAAGTAGCAACACAACCCTGTTGCAGCTATCCATCAGGGAAATCCATTTGTGCTTGTCGTGGCAATAACCATTTGTAGAAAACACAAGAGTGCCAAATTCATAAACAGAAAATATTCCGAGCTTCTCGCCAAATAGATTATCAAATAAAGGGAACGTTGAGAATAATGGATCTGTGAATAGTAACAGCCGCTCTGCTTTCTTACATTAGCACTCGGCCTCCCCAGTTCTCCAGTCTGATATTTAATTGAGTGCGAATTGAGTTTGCAACCAGGTGGTTATTTATGGCATGGCTCCATCCTGGGGTCCTGGTGCTGTGCGAGCACATATATATATCACTCTCAGCGGTGGGATGAAGAGATTTTCCAGCTCTAATTCCTAATTTTAGTTGGATTAAACATTTGGGAAATTAATGCTGGAGAGCATTAACTTTGAATGTAGTCTGTTCTTCAGGAAGGGAAATTATGCAGTTGTTTATTATAATCTTTGTAATGACTTGGCAAGCGTAACTCATTCGCCTGGAGACCCCTATTGTTCAGTTCTGTCAGTCACTCAATGCAGTCTCTCATATGGTGCATTATCTTTTGTGTCTCTGCCCTTTTCTGTGTTTACTTGACTCTTTAGGGTTAATTGCGCAGCTAACTGCCTGATTTCTATGCACAAGCTTGTCACTGTAAGCCTGACGCACATGAGTTCATTTTGACTTATGACAACCGGCATTCACATGGTGTGCTGCCCCAGTGTGTATTTGTTGTTCAGACTCCTTTTAGCAGCACTGAAGTCTACCTTTGTGTATGAAATGTCACGTACTTCGCCAGCATTGATTGATTGAACAGTCAGGGGGTCTGAGCACAATGGTTGGCATGTTCATAAATAGTCCTGAAATAGATGTCTGATGTTGAACATTGAAACAGGCAGGAAAATGTTTCCTCCGATTGGGCATGGAGCGATGACCGCCAGACTATTGTAATTATCATTTGGACTTTCTCTCTTTTGAAGAAAAACTGTAATTGTCGGTCCATGGCATTTCACATTTCCTTTGGATGACAGTTGTGATATAATGAAATAGAAAGAGTCACTGTGGGATTATTGGGCCTTGATGGTTTGAGTGTGAATGCAAATTGCTCTGATCCTCGTGCCTTTAGGGAGTGTCCCTTTGGTCCCTGTTGAGGTGATGGATGGGAGAGAGAGCTCCCGAGTCCTGGGAGACTAGCTTGAGGGGAGCTGACAGGAGATTAAGCTTCGCTTTCACCGTAGAAACTAATGGAGCTACTTGGCCACTAAAACTTCATCTCTTTGAGCATTTAGCTCATTGTGGTTCTGCTGTCAGCTCTTTAGCAAATCCTCCCCCAAACACTGCATGAAATGTCTCTGCAAAGTGAAGTAGCTCTTTTTTTTGGAAATTGCCCTTCATTATTTTCACTGATTTCTTTGGCAACATTTTTAAATGAGCTACGTTTTGTTGCGGTTGATCCAAAAGACACATTTTCAGCTCTCTTCATATGTTCACAATCCTCATTTTAAGCCCCTTTGGTCTCTGCATAAAGGCTGCGTATTATACAAAAGATTAATAAAACATGAACATAAGCACTGAACCTAAATAATGGAAAGGTTATGACAAAATTGAGTGTTCTCTGCGTGAATAAGACTGCACAAATACTATTCAATGAGTGGCCTCGAGTGAGGTGCTTACGGTATGTCTCTGTGTTGATGAAATAGTTTGGATCTCTGAATAAAAACTATTTTAGGGGATATGAACAGATAGTCAAATATCAAAGTACTGTTTGTCCCAGACATTGGCTGTCTAGGGTTACATGATATCTTGTTTTGTCAGAACATGCAGTTCAGTATCATATGTTTCCATTGGGTTGTTATTTTGGCGTATAGTGTCTGTTAGGTGTCCTCTCCTTCTCCTCTGCTTTCCTCACACTACATTGTCACCATGTTGGATCAGGATGGAAAACACGTTTATCAGGAAGCGGCAGCTGCAATTTTCTGCTTTTAAATCCCTGAAATTTGTCTCTGTTTCAAGTCGAAACGCAGGATCAGCTAAGTAAGGAAAAAGGAAATCAATAACAGGGCTCATATCTCGCCATGAGCTTTTCTGATTTGGCATTCATCTGTCGGGTCGGTTTCTTTCTATTTAGCCGACCCTTGTTAAGGGATTCAATGGTTAAATTCTTGTTCTGCTCTTGAGAATGAGAATGTCATAGACTGAATACACCTTGTTCGGTATTTTCCTTGCAGTTTGTCAGATAGCTGTTCCAACATTGGAGGACAGGTTTATTATGGTTCCTGAGTCAATGTAAATCTTCCTTAAAGAAAAAGTAAATAATCTCACATGTCGGAGGGATTCTGACAGTCTGCACTGTTTCCATGTGACTGCGTCTTGGCTTGCCAATAGCTTTTTGAGTTTATTTGCACTATTCCTCCCCTGGAGCTCCGTTACTATAGTTTGTACTTGCATAAGTCATATCAGATAAAGGCATATCATAATTATTTCTTTAAAGGAACTGCATACGTATCTGTGTCTTCCTGAGCCGTTAAGCTGCTTTTTTAATGCATCATTTAGACGTTTTTATGCAGTCGTCTTGTATTTTCTGCTTCACCGGTTTAAAATAAGAAATATTTTGGGAATAGCATGCTTTGTGTCTGGGTTTACAACTGGGGCATTTAGTCACGGGTGGATCTGGGATTGAGAGAGTAATTCCTTGTCTCTTCACTAAGGGAGTTTGCCTTTAAAATAAAGCAGATCTGATCAGTGCAGCTCCCATCTGACTGCCTGAACAAGTCAATTTACAATAGGCAGCTGGGCTGATGGGCATCCATAAAACAGTAAAGGAGTGCTGAACTTTTCTGTGAACCACAAACTGAGGATGGTGGTGGAAAATGTATCCTATGATGTAGAAATAAAGTAGGTAGGTAGCCACATTTTGATCCAATACCAATGCTACAGAACCACCTTTAAGCAGGTTCAAACGTATATTGTATTCCTGTCACCTTATTGGCTTAATTCCTGTTACATTGGCTGCTCCTCTCTTGCGGCTCTACCTTGTGAACCAGTTGACATGGATTCGTTTTAAAAACTTGATGGACAAGTCCAAGCTGTTGCCATGTTTTCTGACTCAGTTGAATTTTGTGCTGACTTGTGCAGCCTTTGACAAGAGCTGGCCTGCAGCTGCCTCTTACTGTCCTGGGTCGGAATCATTTATCAGCTGCCAGAGGTATTGGGCCA